TTCTCTCCTGTGTTATTCATGTGTTATTGCGCGTTATTCATGTGTTATTGTGTGTTATTCATGTGGTATTGATGTGTTATTGAGAGTTTAGGAATATTTCCTTGCGTTATTCATGTATTTAATGTGTTATTCTCAAAATCACCTCAATAACACACCAATAAAACATGATTAACGCAAAAAGTATTAAGAATAACACGAGGGAATATTCCTATAATGTGTTTTCAATTTTTTTTTTTTCATTTTTTATATAGGTGAGCCCAACCTTCCACGTGTCAGCTCAAAATTGGATTCCGCAAGTAGCTTGGCATGCGAGTCCTGATGTAATATTTTATCCATTGAATAACACTCCAACAATTATGCTCAGATATGTCTGAAGTTTAGTGATAAACATAGTCTCTACTTACACCATTTGGAAAAGCTTGGATTAAACATAACTTTTTTCATTTTTATCACCTAACTCCCTACTAAGTTACAAGAGAAACAAAGAACTAAAAACATATAACAAAATGACTCTAAACAAAAACTTACATGGATCCAACAGTTCAGAGCAAGACACGTGTTACAAGATGGATATGAATCTCACGAAAGCAATGCATGGGTTAAAAGTAAGAATAATCAAACAATAGCTGTCGTCCGATCAAACCACCGATCAGTTAGAGGTCGGTCGGTCGATCGACCAAGGCCGACCGACCAAAGGCCAACTGACCCATATATTATCCGGTTGGAGCCCGATCGATAAGAAGACAAGCTGTTAGAGACCAATTAATTGAGAGTCAATGACTTAAACCTAACTTATCAGATGTCAGTTAAGGAAACACTAAATGTTAATGAGGGGCTTTGAAATTAGAAACAAAGATGAATCTCACTTAATGTCATTTTATCATGACCTGATAAATAACTTTTAATAGTATATATAACATTCTCAATAATTTTTTTTTACCTCTTCATTAAAATCATCATCATCGAGCCACACTTTGACCAACAGCCTATGATAGGTAAAAAATCCTTGATGAATTACTCTCAACCTCTTTCACACATGTTAGCATCGTCGAGCCATGCTCTAACTAACAAGTTATGATGGGTCAAAATTCTTGGTGGATTACTCTTAATCTCTTCTTGACAGGTTAATCTTATCAAGACATGCTATGACAAATAAAATTGTATAGCTTTAACATCTTTTATGATTTTTTCAGCTTTTTTTCATACGGGTTAATGTCATTGAATACAAAAAACATTACATCAGGACTCCGCATGCAGAGCTGTTTGCGGAGTCCAATCTCGCGCTGACACGTGAGAGGTCGAAAACTTGCGACTCGACTCGATCAATACGTTATATGAATATTTCATCGCATGGGAATATTCTCTCGCGTTATTCTGAATATTTTCCTCATTATTCATGTGTTTCGTGTTATAGAAATATTCTCTCCTGTGTTATTCATGTGTTATTGCGCGTTATTCATGTGTTATTGTGTGTTATTCATGTGGTATTGATGTGTTATTGAGAGTTTAGGAATATTTCCTCGCGTTATTCATGTATTTAATGTGTTATTCTCAAAATCACTTCAATAACACACCAATAAAACATGATTAACGTAGAAAGTATTCAGAATAACACGAAGGAATATTCCTATAATGTGTTTTCAATTTTTTTTTTTTCATTTTTTATATAGGTGAGCCCAACCTTCCACGTGTCAGCTCAAAATTGGATTCCGCAAGTAGCTTGGCATGCGAGTCCTGATGTAATATTTTATCCATTGAATAACACTCCAACAATTATGCTCAGATATGTCTGAAGTTTAGTGATAAACATAGTCTCTACTTACACCATTTGGAAAAGCTTGGATTAAACATAACTTTTTTCATTTTTATCACCTAACTCCCTACTAAGTTACAAGAGAAACAAAGAACTAAAAACATATAACAAAATGACTCTAAACAAAAACTTACATGGATCCAACAGTTCAGAGCAAGACACGTGTTACAAGATGGATATGAATCTCACGAAAGCAATGCATGGGTTAAAAGCAAGAATAATCAAAAAATAGCCGTCGGCTGATCAAACAACCGACCTGTTAAAGGTCGGTCAGTCGATCGACTAAGGCCGACCGACCAAAGGCCAACCGACCCATACATTATCCGATTGGAGCCCGATCGATAAGAAGACAAGCTGTTAAGGACAAATTAATTGAGAGTCAATGACTTAAACCTAACTTATCAAATGCTAGTTAATGGAACATTAAATGTTAATGAGGGGCTTTAAAACTAGAAACAAAGATGAATCTTCACTTTTCTTTTATGTTCTATTTTTTAAGTGTGATTCACGAACAAATGTGGGTTCAACACAGATATTATTATTTGTAAATATTAAGAAAGCTAGTTGACTTATTTATCATAGTTTTTAATTTTTATTAATTTTTTTTAGGATAATCTTAACACAATTTTCATTGATAATACTTATTTTAACTTTCGGGAAGAGAAGGCTGGCAAGGAAAACCAAAGTAACCTAATTGTAATGGGGCCATTTCGCCGCTGTCCATCTTGAATTCGGTCGCTTTGCTGTTATCTGCTCCGACGATATTACCCGGCGAGCGGCTGGGCTACCCTCGAGTCTTCCGAGATCTTCTCCATCCCAAGGGTTTCATAAAGAGGGAGCAAAGTCTCTGCTCAGAACCCTATTCTCTTGATAACAGATAGTCGGAAGTTCAATCGTTGGGAGCAAAGATGGTGCTCGCTGAGTTGGGCGGGAGCATATCCCGCGCTCTGCAGAAGATGAGCAACGCGACGATCATTGATGAGAAGGTGCTGGGAGAGTGCCTGAACGAGATCACGCGGGCGCTGATGCAGGCCGATGTTAAATTCGAGATGATCCGCGACATGATGGCCAACATCAAGCGTATCGTCAACCTAGAAGACCTCGCCGCCGGCCACAATAAGCGTCGAATTATCCAGCAGGTGATTCTTTTTGCTGTTTCATTTCGTACATTTGCCTCTTTTGATTACGCTCAGTTCCTTGCTTATTTACTTAAGCGAACTCTGATATGATAGTGGATTATTCTTGATTTATTCTGTTACTTCTTGTTTATGGGAGGATTAGATCTATTTAGTTCAAAATCATGCCTTTTTTATTGGTTTCCCCTTGGCATTCTTCCCCATTTCGTATTGGTATGAGATAAGAGAATTTATGGGTTATTTGGTTAGTCTTATCTAGATGTAGGTCTCTAGCTTTGTTAAAAGTTCGGTATAAAAGTGATTGGTCTCATGTTAAAATTGATTTAATGAATCCAAGTTTAAATTTTGCTAGTGCTAGACCATTTTGGAAATGGGGCACTGAATTCACTCGATTGTGGTGAGGAGTAAGCAAGGATTTTGCAGGACATCATCTACTACAACTAAATCTAAATATGGTGAACATAGGCAAATGGCAAGTAGGATGTTATCTGCAAGCTCAGCTTGCTTGTGTGTTCTATGCAAAGGTTCAGTAAGACTTCAATTAAGATTATATTGGCTACATTAAATTTGAGAGGTTGAATGGGGAGATGAGAGATTTGTGGGTATAATGTTTAGATAAAGAATGTATATTACTTAATTGCAAGAAATTAAATAGAAAGGAAATATTCTCAGAACATTGGAGAGGGTTATAAATTTTGTTATGTGTAAAATATTAATAAAGTGAATAGGGATAATCTTTTAGTGGATAAATAATTGGAGGATAAATAGTTGAAGTGAATAAGTTTACTGATATGGTGTTGTTATTAAGATAATTGTTTGCAAGATGTAAGGATATCATATGTGGTTAGTGATTATGCTCGAGGTTGATTGAAAGATATCAAAAAAAAAAAAATTATGCTCGAGGTTGATTGAAAGATATCAAAAAAAGAAAAAAGAAAAAAGAGAAGAGATTGATGAAATATTATAACATATTCTTGGGAGAGAAATGATATTTATTATGGGTTGGTAATTTGATGGATGTATATATTCTAAATAGGATGAGCTATAAGAGGATTCATAATGGTCCTGAAGTATGAAATAGAATTGTAATTGAAAGATTTATATTAGAATTCACAACGGCCTATGTATTGTAATAAGTTACTCATATTTTAACAAACTAGAGTGCAATGGCGTTCAAGTTGTAAATAAACATTGTTTCATTCAAAACAAAAACAAATTTTTTGTTCAATAAATATAGAGAAATTCCAGGAGAGAGTATGACCATATATTGTAGAGTGATAGTTATGGATACATATGTTAGGTCTTTAAATGAAATGATCTAAAGAAAAAAATTGCCTTAGGTTCTCGGACAAGGTAGTGAAATTTGAAAGACAAATAGTTGTTAATCTTTTAAGATATATTTGTAATTGAAATAAATTGAAATTATTTAGTTGAGTCGTACTTGATGGGGGATAAGATGGTTATTTCCATGAAGAAGATTATGATTGTTATTTTTGGAGAGTTTACAAACAATTCCTGCATTGATAAGATTATTTGGTCATACAAAATGTTATTAAATAATAAAAATGTAGTTTTAATGAGGGAGAAAAGCTAAATAATTTTAGCGTGATGAATATTATAAGAAAATTAGAATTCCTTCATTGAGGGTACTAACGTAACAAACTTCTATGACTTCTAATGATTTATATGTTAGATTTTCTTGCCAAGAATGCGGGAAACTAGATATATAAAATAATTAAGGAGATAGGAGATCTAAAGTTTTAGATCAAATTAAATGCATTAGACACATCTTGAATTTGATATAATTTAAAGAATGTCATTAAGGAAAGATGAAAATGTTAATTTGAGAAATCATTGAATGAAAATTTTAAGTAAAAAAATATTTCAAAAGAAAATAATAAAAAGGAGTTAGCTTTGAAAAAGATATATAATTTGATATATGGTAGATTGATAAAAAACAATTGAAATTAGATGCAGAAAAGTGTATGATGGTAAAGCTTTAGGTATAAATAGGTATTTAGAGACTTACAAAGCAATGAAGTTACAGAGATAAGAGATTTAAGTTTAAAAATATTATGTTAGTTTTGGAGAATCAATTTTGTATCATGCCAAGAAGATTTATTATGGAAGTATTGATTAAGACGACGATGACAACAACAACAAACAACAACAACAAAGCCTTAATCCAACTACGTGGGGT